TTGAATTTTTAAATTACAATTTTAGAATATTATTTTAAAAGAGGCTGAGACTTGCAGATAATTTAAAGCTTCCGTAAGATCTTGCAGCTTGAAATTGCTGGAGTTGGTACTCCTAGTCCGTTTACTATTTCACTGAATATTAAAATTGCTTTAAATCTCTGAAGTGCCAAGTTTGGGTGATTAGTTCATAAAAAAAGAACTGAGCCTCAACTAGCTGGAAGATATTGTTTTGGGAACTAGAACATTTGCAAAAAGGCATAAAGCTGAAAGTTTAATGAGCCTGGGAGGCCTTAGCACTGCTGGCTATATTAACTCATTGACTTCTCAAAACAGAAAGACAGCTGTTGTAACAGATGAGTAAACTGAAGGGGCACACAGAGGCACTGATATTTGTCAGGCCACACAATTAAGAAAAAAGCTTAAAAGCCTGAGTATCAAATTAATGATTGAAAGCCTGAGAATCAAATTAATTCAGCCTCTATCCATTCATTCTAAAATATTATATTGGGGGTTTTCTCTGTGATGTACACCCTGCTAGGCAGAATTAAAGTCCACCCAGCCTATTGTGAAAGAATATGTAGGAGAAGACTTGAATCATCTAGGAGATTAGACAGTTTCATTTAAGCCAGGAGATGCATGCTGAGGAGGAATCAGCTCGGAAAATGAGGTGCAGGCAGGTTGGGAGCTGTGGTAGCAAATGGGAACAAAGATTGTTATGGGCAGAAGGAAAAACCTGTGGGAGGCTTCTGAGCCAGAAAAGCACATGGCTTGTCCAAGAAAATGAAAGCACTCTTTGTCTGCAATGAAGAAGGCCGAAGTGTAGAAAGATGCAAAATGAAGCTGGTGAGCTTCACAGGTGCAGACCAGATACAGTCTTGCAGGCAAAAGAAAGGAGTCTGGTATTTGTTTTAATAGAAATAGGAAGTCATTAACTGTATTCGATTAGGAGAGTGAAATAATCCTAATTGCTTTTGAAAAAAACCACTCTAGATTTCCAGACGGAGGGAGGAAGGTACGAGGGAGCGAGGAAGAAAAAGGCTGTTAGGAGACTCATTTAAAATGGAAATGAAGTCAAGTAATTGTAAAGGCCTTATCAGATCAGAGAGGGGCAAACCTAAGCTATTTCAAGAGGGAAGCTGATAACAAGTAAATCAATTCACACCACAGACCTGCAAAATGGCTCAGCTCTGGACTGATCTGCAAAATGGCTCAGCTCTGCATTGGAAAGTATTGGACATTAAGACGAGCAGAGATGTGGCCAGAAACGAAGGCGGCAAAAGTCAGGGGCATGTGGGCGTGTCTTTATAAAAACTAGTTAAGAGGTTTAGCTTCTCACTCCAAGGACGCTTGGTATTTCCCACACCCCAGTATGGCAATATTATTGTTGACATGTTGAAGAATTTCTGTACCGGTTGGTAAAGAGCCACTTCCTTGAGCTCCCCAGAGTCCCCTCCTTGCTTCCCTAGAACCTCTCCTCCACAACCAGCTCCTCCCACTCCCACCACTTTGCCCCCAGTCTAAATGAGCCATGCTTGGCTTAGCCAAGGGCTTCAGTGGAATTTGGATTCATACCTTTTCTGATGGTTTGGTGTCCATACCTTGCTGGCTTGAAATATTTTAATGTTTGTGGAAATGATGAAGGAAAGAAAAATGCGAGAGATAATATAATGAAAAAGTGATAGAAATTGGTGATGCAGTAAATAGCATGAAAAAAAGAAGTATCAAAAGATTATTCCAGAATTCTAAGTTTGAAAAATGTGAGAAATCATGTGGTACTACTTTCACTCTTCATGTAGATAGCCTCAAACACCTTTAGTTCTCAGAATAATACACTTCAGACATCTTTGACCTGTTATATTATTTCCTAAAATAAACTTAAATGTGTTTCTCATATCCTCTAATCATCCAGAAAACTCCTATTCATCCTACAAAACCCTACTTAGGCATATTCTGTTTATGTATTTTTCCTTAAACATATGTATATACATATAAATGTAAACGTATAGGTATATATCTTTTTCCTAAATTAGTGGTTGTCAAATTTTAATGTGCTTCAAAATCACCTGGAGGACAAGATTTCTAACTTATTCCCAGAATTTTTTTTTCTTTTCTTTTTCGTTTCGGAGATGGAGTCTTGCTCTGTCACCCAGGCTGGAGTGCAGTGGCACGATCTTGGCTCACTGCAAGCTCCGCCTCCCGGGTTCACGCCATTCTCCTGCCTCAGCCTCCGGAGTAGCTGGGACTACAGGTGCCCGCCACCACGCCCGGCTAATTTCTTTTTGTATTTTTAGTAGAGACGGGGTTTCACCATGTTAGCCAAGGTGGTCTCGATTTCCTGACCTCGGGATCCATCCGCCTGGGCCTCCCAAAGTGTTGGGATTACAGGCGTGAGCCACCGTGCCCAGCCACTTGAATTCCCAGAATTTCTAACTTATTCCCAGGTGATGCTGATACTGCTACTCTAGGAAATATACTCTAGTAATCACTGTTCTAAACTCTAGCTAGAGTTAATCATTCATTTTTCTGTAACACCTTAGTGGCCATACATGTTTCATTTGTTACACTTATGTAATTCTAATTTATGTTTTGTCCCCAGTTATACTTTTTCTATTTTTTCTATTGTTACAATTGCTAATACAGTACCTGGAATATGAAAACGATTCAGTAAGTGTTGGCCGATTGAGTTAATTCATGTTTCATTAATTTTATGTCATCTTCATAAATCTCAGTGAAGTATCATGCATCCATTTAGACAGTGTAAAATATTCCATAATAGCAATATATTAAAATCAAACTAATATTTAATATCTTTTGTGTGCCAGAAGTTGGGCAAAGGGTTTATATGTATTATTAAATACTTATCTTGATGATTAGACAATATATTACAAAATTAGACAATATATTACAAAAAATTAACATTCTCTAGAGGTTTAAGTGACTTTCAAAAAGTAACACAAAGCTAGTACGTATCAGAACTAAGATTTGATCCCAGCTACGTCCAAATAGAAATGGGTAACTCTGAAGAAAGGGCCTGAGAATGACAGAGTGCATACGGGTTGTGGTGGCATGGTCTTTTCCCTTCTTTCTTAAAAAGAGATACCAGTTATATACGTTTTATCATTTATGTTTACTTTGAGCTTCCTCGTGGCATATAGGTACAGGGATTTCATTAGGTTTAAAGAATTTTTAAAGAAAAGAAACAAATTTGGTTGTGGAAGAATATTTTCAGTTCATACCAAATAATTGAAGTTTGCTGTGTAGGTTTTGTCTTCAAAGTCTTCCATATTGAGAATGTAGTGCACTAGCACCCTCTTCTGCTGGTTGCATCTCAGTTCTTCCATCTCTTGGACAATCTTTAGGAAGCTGTTAGTCTTGGAGTAAAATCGGTATGCAAAGTACTCGGGCTGAGGGTATTGAGGCAACACCCAGCCATGAGCCTCGCAATTTTCATTGGCCTTATAGGCTGCCTAGACAAAAAAAATCAAATTTATGGGTATTTTAGGATAAAGAGAAAGGATGAGTGAAAGAATATTTGATAAGATGGTTTATCGTCATGCTGCTTTATCTCTACAAGAACATCTTACAGCCATTCTACATTAAGTCTAAGCCAATTC